AGTATGAAAATTCTAGGGTAAACCATAATTCACAAATTATTGGATGTGATATATATTCTATTAAGTATGTTTTGAAATGTATCCAGATTGATCATGTATATATGAAGATGATCGATTATATTTTGGTGAATGATGAGTATTGATTAGCACTTTTGAATTATGATATTCTTTGAACTATGTTATTATTTCATTCCACATACAGTGCTTTACACCTCTACTTTATCGATAATCATTTTTTTTTTCACGATCGATAATCATTTTAATAATTGTAATTAGTGGATACAATCATTCAATAATTCATTTATTTGATTAAAAATTATACTCTAATGTAAGTTATTTTTTTAGTTTCTCAACTATTCCAAAGTAAAGATCCATGGTTTTCTAAAGTTGAATTTTCTGGCCAAAAATATATATAACTTAAAATAAAAGAAGCATAAATATTACGCCAAAAGTGAACTGTATAAATTTTATGGCTTATGAATATTGTATATATTATTTCTTCCACTTGGGGAAAAAATTGAAGTCCAACTAAAAAGCTTGTAACATTGAGCACGTATATAATTTTGGGATAACGAGCTTAATAACAAAGATGGTGGTTTTAATTAGTTAGATAACAAAGAGTCGCGTAAATGTATAAAGGTTTTTATCTTTGATATGGTTTATTACGAAAGACATCCTCGATGTTGTGTTAGAATTAAAACTTAGAAATCTAATAAAGATCTCAAAAAAATTACAGAAATCTAATAGGCTACTATTCCACTTTTAAGGTAATATATGGTTTTAACTAGAGCCACATGGTTTGCTTAAATCACGAGTATTTAATGCTCTGAAGCTTCGATATATTTTGTGCCTATATGTACAATATCAAAATCAATATGTATGTATAGGTTTCACACATATCTTACCCACATATATATGTTTGTATCTTTTTGTTAAAGTGAAAACACTATTGTTACAGAACTAAAAAAAAAGAGTCTTGTAAAAAAAAGGAAAATATTTAGATCTATTTTGTTCAGAGTTAGAGTGACTGTTTCGATTGGAAAAAGGTATATTTCAGTATTTTGTTTGAACGTTAATGATAATTTTGGCATAAACATGTTGTATTCTCGAGCTTTTACGGCAACCATTAATGGCAGTCTTGCAAGATGGCATTGTTAAAAAAGATATTAATGTCTCTAATATAATTTTCAGCCGTGTATTGTTTTAGTTTAGCTATTTTTGAAGTTTGAGGCCGCGGTGGAGCAGACGATATTGGAAACGCTGTGGTCAGAATGGAAGATGAAAGTAATGAGGAGATGCATACGACAAGTTTTGCCGCCGTGGTGGCGATGATGAACTTGGTGAGACCTATAAATGAAGGTACTTGTTTTAAATTTGTATAGCTGGACAACTTATATGTTGTATGCTAATATAAAAGTTAGTCGTTGGAATATCTTCCAGTGATTGTGATGTTGCTGTTCTTATACCAGTGTTGTGTCTGAGCAGGCGGAGCAACAGTTCATGCTTCAGGAATAAACGCAGTTCCCATTGAGGATGGTGAGCCAGACGATGATTCTTCTGAAAATAGTTTCTTTGTGGGTGGATAATTTATAAGTTATATATATATATATTGTTTGTTAGTGTCTATTTACAATGTGAGTGATGGGATAAATTTAATGTTGGTCGTTACACAAGTTTTTAACTGTAAACCAAATATTTTGTAGGTAGTGGGATGAATCAACCACATGAAATCTATGATGAAATGGTTTTTAAGGACAGAGATGCTTTCAAGCTACATATGTCGTTATATGCTTTGCATCACAAGTTCCGTTACCGTAGCACACGGTCGACTCCGAATATGATGATTCTCGAGTGCTATGGAAAATAT